TATATAATAGGTAATTTTCATTGCCTCCTTTCTACTTACCTGTATTTTCCAATTTGCCTGTCAATGAAATGTGCCACTTTTGTAATTTTTAAAGCTTTTTTTTTTTTTTTTTTGAGACAGAGTCTCGCTCTCTTGCCTGGGCTAGAGTGCCGTGGCGTCAGCCTAGCTCGCAGCAACCTCAAACTCCTGGGCTCAAGCGATCCTTCTGCCTCAGCCTCCCGAGTAGCTGGGACTACAGGCACGCGCCACCATGCCCGGCTAATTTTTTATGTATATATTTTTAGTTGTCCAGCTAATTTCTTTCTATTTTTTTAGTAGAGACGGGGTCTCGCTCTTACTCAGGCTGGTCTCAAACTCCTGAGCTCAAACGATCCGCCCGCCTTGGCCTCCCAGAGTGCTAGGATTACAGGTGTGAGCCACCGCGCCCGGCCTAAAGCTTTTTTTTAAACAAGTCAGGTTTTATCAATCTAGTTTGGTTTTAAGATACACTTACCTTGAGACGGGATAATAGACAAAATACCTTCTTAAATATCTTCACATCCCAAGAATGTATTATTCTTTAGCCCCCTCTGATATCAAACAAAAACAGCACATCTTGCTACCCTATCAGCACTTCATGATAAATGGAGAGTTTTACTTTTCTCTCTTCACCTAATATGGCAGGGTGGTTTAAACATCCAACCTTAACGGTTCCCCACCAAGGGAGTCATTTTAAATTTTATACTTTCCTGAAATATTTCCTGAAAGCTCACGAGTTCTGAATGTTTTCTAGATCTAGCCATTGCCCTGTGGAGTTCAAACCTCAAATAATGTGTGTGAACTAAATACAGGAAAACATAAAAGCCTAGAAACTGTGGTCATACGGTGAAGCAGCCTGCCAAAGGCTCAGAACTTTCCCCGCCTACTACAAGGGGCCGGTCCCAGGAAGGTCAGAACCAAGAAAAAAGATCACTCTGCTCCCTAAAGCTGTTCTTTCTGCATTGTGGCTCGGAATCCTACCATTCTCCACTCTAAAATCCTCGCCTGCCCCTCGCCGACACCGTGCACCTCCAATCAGCCTTTAATCTGTGCCTTCACCGTATCTTTCCTACCTGCGCCGTTCTGATTACCCCGCTGCCACCATGCCAGTGCAGCGCCTGTGTCAGCCTCCTCCCCGACCCCAGTAAAACCTTCTGGTCTCCACGCCCCAGCTCTGCGCCCTCACCTTCAGGCCCACCTCAACCACGTTTACTCTACATTCATGCTAATCCTCTCTGAGCAGGCTGCTACAGCTGTCAGAAGTCCTCCAGGGATTCCCCACTTAGTTTCCAACTTTCCAACTTTATTTTCTATTGTAGCCCACTTGTGTCCACATTTCAGCTAACTGGTCTGCTTGCAATTCCCAAGATCACTTGCCTTTTCCACCTGTGGACCTTTCCTTAGGCTCCTCCCTCTATCTAGAAAGCACCCTTCCTCCATTGCTGCCCATTGAAATGCTACTGATTATTCCAGAAGCAGGTCAAATGCCAACTGTTCAAATAAGTATTCTTCTTTTCCTATTAACCTTTATATTGCCACTCCTGCATCGTTTACCACATGCTAACCTTACATCATCATTCATACGTCATTATTTATGTACTTAGCTTTTCTGCCTGCCAACATTTATTAAGCACCTATGATATGTCAGGGGTATGTACTAGGCACTTTACAAGTGTTATCTCACTTCATTGAATTCTCACGACAGCCCTGTCCTGAGGTATTACCACCCCAGTTTTACAGATAGGAATCCGAGGTTGGTAGAAGTTAATTAACCTTCTCAAAATAGCATCCTTACTAAATCACATCATGCATTCAACAAATGTCATTCCACTCCATGTCTGCCAGACTCCTAAGCCCCCTGGGCTTTTCCGTACAGGGCGAGAAGTCCTTTCGAGGGCAGTTAGCACTGGAGCCTCAGGACAAGGCAGATCCTGTGGAAGGCAGTTTTCCGCCCCTCTCTCATTGGATTTGATTCACTGTGCTGGGGGAAATGCTCCTTTGACTCTCAGTCAGCACTTAGCCTGGCTAGCACAGGGCTAAAGAAATGATTCATGAAGACAAACATCATACAGGATGTTTAGTTCCAGTTGTGACCCTGATTCTTGTAAAACTGTGAGAGGAACGCCAAGCCCCAGCGTATATTTAACAGTCTAGAACTCCCAGTTCTCTGCCACCTCAGTTTAGGCTTCAAGTTAAACCTCTGTGTTTGCTGGTTAGATCCAGGGGATGCCTCAGCTTTCACAAACAAGGCTGCGGCAGCATTGTTGTCACTACGGTCAGCCTTGGCCTGATAAGAGTCCCTGCCATCAACACCCAACAAAGGCTCACAAGAAATTAATGTGAAGATTAAGAACAGAGAAGGGATAGTCTACCCTGAATTGGTTTTTCACCATTTAGGGTTGGAAGCCCCCAAACTTGTTGGGTCAGTTCATATTGCCAAATGAAGAATATTATAATGATGGCTTTATTCTCTTTCTTATTGTTTTGGAGTCAAGGGTGTTCAGTGGCCACTGTTTGCTCAAGGAGAGTGTAAACAGTTCTTGCTGACGCCTGTGGCCAATAAGCATGCCTCCTAAGCCATTTTCAACTTGGCATGGGGTGTAGATCTAATGGTAAAGAAGCTGAACAGGGGCCAATCGTGGTGGCTCATGCCAGTAATCCTAGCACTTTGGGAGGCCGAGGCAGAAGGATCACTTGAGGTCAGGAGTACAAGACCAGCCTGAGCAACATAGTGAGGCCTTGTCTCTACAAAAAATAGAAATATTAGCCAGTTGTGGTGGCACGTGCCTATAGTCCCAGATACTTAGGAAGCTTTAGGAGGATCACTTGAGCCCAGGAGTTTTGAGGTTGCAGTGAGCTATAATGATGCCACTACACTCTAGCCTGCAAGACAGAATGAGACCCTGTCTCAAAAAAAAAAAAAAAAAGATAAACAGGGAATGGGATGGGATTAGGTAACCCTATTTTGTGTTTTATATGTATTTTCTCTCTCAATACTCACAGCAGTCCTTTCTGAGGTAGTTGTTATTGTAATACCCATTCTACGGATCCAAAAACCGTGGTAAGTAACAGGGCTAGAAACCTGGTACGCTGAGCTCCCCAGCTTTCCATCACACTAAGCTCAGGCTTTGTGTCAAGATCTTTTGCTTGCAAATATTGGTCATTTAAATAGGGCCAAAGGCAGAATTTGCACATAAGTTAGAGTTCTCAAATATCAATATTCTTCCTTCTCTTCAAACCAAGATGATATGAAGCATTTAGTTTCTTAAATGTCTCATATTTTCCATAGTTGACAAAGATCTCAACAAGAATTAGCACTGGAGCCTCAGGACAAGGCAGATCCTGTCGAAGGCAGTTTTCCGCCCCTCTCTCATTGGATTTGATTCACTGTGCTGGGGGAAATGCTCCTTTGTCAAGATCTGGTAGTTGTCAAGATTTTGTCAAGATTTGGTAGTTGAACTGTAAGATTCTTACCTTCCACTCAGGAGACTCCTGTGTTTGATTCTTAGGCAAAGAATCTTAGGCTAGGCTCTCACTATTTTGGTTGGTTAGACCATGAGACACTAAGGCCAGTGAGTCAGAGTCACTGGTAGGATGGCTGTTCCCAGCCATCTCTGAAACAAGTCATAAAGTGGAGGGGCGGAAATGCAGATGGCCCAAGGTCATTGGGACTAATGAAAGTTATCAAAAGTCCTACTGTCCAGCGTAACTTATGTCATATTCATGAATCTTCAAAGCCAAACATCTTTATTCACACAAAATCTTCCCCCTTCTTCATGATCTGCTATGTTGTAGACAGTCCAGTGCTTAGAACACCTTTATACTAATATACCTCCATATGGAATGTTGTTGCTAATCAGTTAACACTAACAACCTATAAAAATATTTTAACATCTCAAAACCTTACCCAAGTTTGACATTTGGGATTACATTCACAGAGCTAGATTCTTGACTTTTTATGAAATCTTTCACATTTCACAGAGATGACAGGATTTTCATTTTGCTTTCCACAATGCAGTTCCTGTAAATATTTTACGGTTGCCTCTGCCATATGGTTAAAAAAGGTTACTCAGAGCACAACCAAATATGGTTATTTCAATAATATAGAAACTGCTTAGTTTGATTACTCCAAACAAACTTTTTGTGCCCCTCCAAAAAGACTTTTCAAAAGACATTTTTGTTGGAAGACATTCACTACCTATTGTTTGAATTCTGTTGCCAACAGTTTGTAAACACCTTGAAAAAGACTTATGACATACGTTAGCAGAAGTCCAGGGAAGAAGAGTAGAGACTGGTAGAAAATGAGATGTTAAAGAACTCAAAACCAGGACAAAGGTGGGTTATGTGCTGTCAGGTACACTAAACAAAGTGTGCTGGGAAGAGGTGGAGCTGGGAAGAGGATCCGCACTTAGCGGCCTGCAAGGTAACTGGGTGTTTACCAGTGAGGAATGGCAGAGTCCATGGGATCCTACAGTGCCCCTCACATGTCTCCCATCTGGACACCGTTTTTGAAGCCATGATAAAACCACAGGGAATCCCACTTTTCTCCGCTACTTTTTTGTGGCCTTCTTAACGCCTTTCTTATCCCACTACTCTCCTTTCCGCTTTCTACTTTGCTTCTCTGTACATAGTCTTTCGTCGTCAACCACTTTTAAGGTAATTTCGCCCCAGCTGGAAAACAACTCAGGTCTTCTTCCTCCGTCGTTCTGAGTCCAGGGACCCAGGTCACTCCTGCTCTTGGAGCTGGGACCTTTCGCTGAACTCAGCACCCCAAGCTGCGAGGATGATCTACTTCGTGAGTCCCCCAGTGGGCTGGCCTTCTCGTGACGCCAGCCCGCTCCTCTTCCCTCCCCCCAGGCCTCATCCCCAAAGAAACCTAAACTCCGTGGCATCTGAAACTGTCTGCGCCTGGCGCCCAAGGTCTTTGCCCGGATCCTATATTTTTGTGACCTCAGCGGGGTCAGGTCAGGGGGTGGCGGTACCTCTTTGCAGGCGTGAAGCTCCGGTCCCGTTCCCTGGGTCACCTGGAAGGCGGTCCCAGCCCAAAGCAGCAGCCGCAGAAGCCGGAATGTGTGCCTCTCCTTCCTCCCCCTGCCCCTGGCACAGGGCTGGTAGCTGTGCCCCGGCTCAGCCATAGCGTTGTCCTGAGTGAGGCGAGTAGTGGCTCAGGTGCTGCGGCCGCCGCTTCTGCTGGCAGCAGGCGGAAAAAAAGGGGAGGGAGGTACACGGGGGGAGGATGCAAGGGGCTGGGCTCGCTTCAGTCACCTCCCTGCGGCTACGCCAAGGCCGCCCATCCTTCCTCCTCCCTCCGTCCTCTTCTCCTCCTACCCACGTCGCCTTGACAACCGCCTCCTCTTTCGCTCCGCGCGGGTGGGGCAGGGACCACGCGCGCCTCTGCCGCTCACCTGCCGGTCGCCGTGGCAGCCGCCGCCGCTGGCGCGCGCGAGGTGGCAATGCGCGCGACTGCGGTGCGCAACGCGCCCAACAGGCGGACCCAGGGCTCCTGTAAAGAACGCGGTGGAAACATCCTCCAAGCCATTGCCAACAAATTCCCGTTTTCTACTGCCCTTTCGGGCCTGGGGCCATTTATGAACCTCTCTAATTTTGCAAACGCGGCGTAGGGACGGAAAGAAGATTGGGAGGCCGTCTTTCCCCTCCAGAAGTTGTCGCCTACGCGAGTGGCCCCAGTACGTGTTACCTACTGCAAAAGCCGCTTCTGGAGATCTTACTTCCATCCCGCCCAATCTGTCGTGCTTTTGCAACTGGCAATCTGAGAAGCTCTAAGACTCGAAGAGTTAAACCGAGTTTAAGCAAGGAGAGTTTGCCTTAGCTGGCAATTGTCCAAGCACGACACGTGGGCTCTCTGGTCTCTTGACATCCTCTTCTCTCACTGCTTTGAAAATAGGAAAGCCTTTTGCTACGTGCGAGGTGAAGGAAATTTCTGGGTCATCTTTTAGGACGTCTTTCCTCAGCTGAAGTCTTTTGCAGGAGTCCTGTACGGTGGGAGGCCGGCGCCTTTCAACTGAGGCTCGGGAGTGCAAATTCAGGGCTCTCTGGCACGGTCTGCGGCTCTTTCCCACGGTATTCCCAGTAACTTCCTCCCGAGGGGCCTCCCGCGTCTGATCGCCAGGTGGCGCCCTTCTCCAAAGGAATTCATCTGGGTCACAGATGGCGGGGCGGTTGCCAGGCAACAGAAACTGGGCGTTCCAAACAATTGGGACCCTGGATCCTCCGCCGGCAAGATTGTGCTGCGGCTGCGCGGGCCTCCCATCCCTCATAAGAACGTCTAAGTTTGGCTTTTAACCATGCCTCCCACCAGGGACCCTTTGCAGCACACTAAGTTAGATAACGATGATTCCTACTTGGGAGAAACGCGGGCTTCCAAGGTACTGTGGTTTCTTGTGCAGATTCCCAGTAGGGTCGCTGGCAGTCTTCTTTCTGTCGGTGTGACAGGCAGCAATGGTAAGATAAAGGACTCCAGTGAAGACATTGAGTCGGGTACTGCCTCCCTGTCCCCATATTCAGGTCTGCTAACGTTTCAGAGGTGCTTTTGAGCAGAGGAAAGTAGAGCTCTAGTCTAGAGGAACAAGGGGCTCCCGCAGCCCAAAGCAATGATTAGCATAAGTAACGGAAGGGCCCAGGTTCAATCAAGCTGCCCTTTTCCCTGATTGGAAAACTGTTCTCTAAAGAGAAATGGACATATGGAGTTGGAGAGAACCCTCTGAGAGCCACCAGGTCATGCTTTATACATCTGTCTTCGAGTTGTCTCTGTCTTCTGGCTAATGCAGCAAGGTGTTTGTATATGTATGTGTTTACTGTGATTTGGAAATTTAGATGACCTTTTTTCTGGTAGAAGTGTTTGGAGTATTTGAAGTGGTGCAAAATAAGGTGAATTAAATGGTAATTGTGGCTTAATAATATCAAGAGCTTCCTTTCATTTATTCAATATTTATTATTTACTATATAACAGGCACTCTGCAAAACATTGAGGTTATGTACATAATTTAGATATAGCTCCTGCTCTCAAGGAACTCTAGTAGAAAAGATGAACCAACAGCAACAACAGCAAAAATGCTTGCACAGGTCCGGGCGCGGTGGCTCACGCCTGTAATCCTAGCACTCTGGGAGTCCAAGGCGGAGGATTGCTTGAGATCAGGAGTTCAAGACCAGCCTGAGCAAGAGCGAGACCCCGTCTCTACTATAAATAGAAAGAAATTAGCCAAACAACTAAAAATAGAAAAAATTAGCTGGGCACAGTGGCAAGTGCCTGTAGTCCCAGCTACTTGGGAGGCTGAGGCAGGAGGATCGCTTGAGCCCAGGAGTTTGAGGTTGCTGTGAGCTAGGCTGATGCCACAGCACTCTAGCCCGGGCAACAGAGTGAGACTCTCTCTCTCAAAAAAAAAAAATGCTTGCACGGCAGCACATGTGTTGTGACATATGTAGGGTGCCCTGAGAACCAGGAACTTAAAGGAAGGCTTCCCAGATCACGTGGCTTTTGGACATCCAATTATGAGTTAGTTGGGCCAGGTGAGGGAGAGGGTAGAATATGAGTTATGAGAAAGGAAACAGGAACCAGACATTCAAGGCAAAGGAAGCAGCAGGTGCAAATACCTGGAAAGCAGAGAGAGTGGCCTGTTTGGGGAACTACAAATAGTCCAGCAGGGCTGAAGTGTGAGTGTGACACGGAGGCGTGAAGTGATAGGGGCTGAAGAAGTGCCCTTGGTCGGCCAGGTGTGCTGTGTACGTCGTGAGAGTTACTGGGATTTCATCCTGGAGACGTGGGGAATCGTGGTGGGATTTTAAGCACTGAAGTGACACAATCAGGTAAGTGGTTTAGAAAGCACAAGTGGCAGTGGACTGGACAGGATGAGAGCGAGACGAGAGGGATCAGAAAGGAGGCAGGTGCGGCGATCTCCAGGGGGAAGAATAGCGGATCTACAGCAGTGACACCGGGGATAGCGACAAGGTGCAGATGTGAGAAAGATGCTGAAGGCCGGACTGATAGGACTTGCTCGCTGACTGGATATGGGCCCAAGAGACGGGGCGAGTCTAGGATAACTCTTAGGTTTCTGAGAGTTTAATTGATATCATTCACTGAAACGCATCATCCCAGGGAAGCAGGTTTGGGGAGAAAGATGTTGAGATCAATTAGGTAGATGTTTTTGTGGCGCCTGAGGGATATTTAAATGAAGATTAATAGTAGGCAACAGGGTTAAGAGTTCCGGGTTGAAGATGTATGTCTGGGAGCCATGGTGTCCATGTGGTAGCTGAAGCCACAGGAGGGAGTCAGCTCATCCAGTGAGTGTGAGCGTAAGAAAGGCAGACCCTTGGTGGGTACCACTATCTAAGGGGCTGAGAAGTAAGAGCCAGAAGCCAGGTGCAGTGGCTCACGCCTGTAAATCCCAGCACTCTAGGAGGCTGAGGTGGGAGGATCGCTTGAGCCGAGGAGTTTGAGGTTGCTGTGAGCTAGGATGACGCCAGGGCATTCTGGCCTGGGTGACAGAGAAAGACTCTGTCTCAAAAGAAAAAAACAAAACAAAACAAAACAGGATGGAATAAGGGGATGTCAGTGAAGCTACATCAGCAAGGCCTCCTGTAACCAGATCATCCTGGATATGGTTTCTCTTTTGCAGAAATTGCCATACAAGAATCCAACTCACCTTGCTCAGCAAGAGGAACCCTGGTGTCGGCTCAGCTCAACTCCCACAATTACTTCCATGAGGCGGGATACCTATTTTTTTGATCCTGAGGTACCTAGCATTGAAATACTATTTCTCTTTACTTCCACTTAGGGATCATCAATATCCTTTTTGAAAGTTCGTCTGCCCCTGACTGCTTCAGTACCTTTCCTCTTGTCCTCAGCACAAGATCCTACCAAATCCAAAGCCCAATTTATTTGGCCTCTGGGAAGTGAGTTTTGCTCCAAGCAGTTATCTGGAACAAACCATTTTTCCGGCCTTCTCATTTTTTTGATGAAAACAAGAGCTGAACATAAACACGAATGATATAAAGTTCACTAAGCCCAAGTCAGGGACACGATTCCCATGTCTCCAGTGAGAGCTCACCACTCCTTAGACCTAACTATGTGGAAAACAATTCCAAATTGACAAGAGTTAAGTCATCAAGTACAATTTAGTGTGTAAGGATCTGGTAGATTTCAGGCCCAATAGGGCCTTCACTATACTTTTGAGAGAGTAGAGTCCAACAGAACTCTCTAGAGCAGGGGCACAGGTGGCCAAGCTAACCCTGGGGTAATTGACTTCTGTAGATACCCAAGGATGACCTGGATTTCCGCTTAGCAGCCTTGTACAACCACAACACTGGGGTGTTCAAGAACAAAAGTGAGATACTGTTACACCAGGAAACCATCCAGGACACCCGTGGGTAAGTGGTAGAGGCAGAGCCTCTGCACCCTAAGGATGCTGCCATCCAATCATATACGGTAAAATCTCACCTGGGAAATAACAATCAGCAGGTACTCATTTGTATATGAATTTCTGTATTTCTACATCTGTACCTGTAATTTCTGTATTTTTATTATCTAAAATGAACAAAAATCCAAGATTGTGCTCATCTACATAAACAAACAAAATCTTTGATTAACTCCACAGAGTGTAAAAAGGGCCTTTGGCTGCTTTTTTTTTTTTTTTTTTTTTGGAGACGGTCTCACTCAGTGGAGTCATCATATCTCACTGTAACTCAAACTCCTGGGCTCTATCGATCCTCCTGCCTCAGCCTTCCAGCTTCCGAGTAGCTGGGACTACAGATGCTCACCAACACACCTGGCTAATTTTTCTATTTTTTGTAGAGATGGGTCTTGCTCTTGCTCAGGCTGGTCTCAAACTGAGCTCAAGCGATCCTCCCACCTTGGCCTCCCAGAGTATGAGGATTACAGGCGTTAGCTACTGAGCCCAGCCTGGCTGCTTTATTTTTGAGGTCATATGCCACTACCTTTCCCTGCTCACCTTTCTCTCTGATTTCACTCTCTTCTCTTTTTACCCACACCATCTTCTAGATTCAAGACCCAATTCCCTGGGGAATTTTTACCCCCTCCCTCTCCGCCCCCCATCACTTCCCGGGCTAACATCAGACACTGGATCAATCCTAAGAAGGAGTCCATCCACAGCATCCAGGGATCCATAGGTAAGGCCAGATGGGGCGACGCAGTCTCCCTAAATGGACCCAGGAATCAGGGATTAGGGGTGACTGGCTAGTAGGGAAAATCAGGGATTAATGAGGGTCTTGGAAAGCAGTGATTAAGTTGGGACTTCATACTAATCATATCATACATATCATACTAATACCAGGGATCATACCGACCATAGAGCTAGAAAAGTAATTCAATTTTTTAGGGCCTCTTATCTCAGTCTTAGGTCTTGGACAAACATTTATAGCAAGGGCAGGCGCAGAGCAGAAACCTGGGAGTGGAAGAGCTGTAACTACCTCCCCTCAGTCCTCTATATGCCGGTTTCCTCAGCTGTTATGAGAACCTTCTCCACGGTGCCCACAAACGTATGGCTCTCTAAAGGCTCCCAGAAAAGGCAAAGGATCTGAAATTCACAGCCCACTCCCTCTTCTGTCTCCACAGTGTCCCCTCACACTGCAGCCACCAATGGAGGTTACTCCCGAAAGAATGATGGTGGCTTCTTCTCCACCTAAGGTAGACAGGCCCCTGGACCAATTATACTGCAACATCCTGCCACCCACCTCCATTAAATAGATTTGTGTAAGATGAAGCGTGAAGTGTCTGTTACCATGGACTACGATTTGCCACTTTACTACTCTTAAAATACAGGAAGGAAATCTCCCAACTTCTAGAACCTAGTCCTGTTGGGTATATTTGAAACTTGGAAAAGTCATTTTACCTTAAAAGATAAAGATTTAGGACAGAGTAGCAGTTTTGGGCAGGACACAGGTATTCACATTTTGTAAACTGAAGTCACTTCAATCATACAGAGCCATCCATTCAACATTTCTTTTTTTTTTTTTTGAGACAGAGTCTCACTCTTTTGCCCGGGCTAGAGTGAGTGCCATGGCGTCAGCCTAGCTCACAGCAACCTCAAACTCCTGGGCTCAAGTGATCCTGCTGCCTCAGCCTCCCGAGTAGCTGGGACTACAGGCATGCGCCACCATGCCCGGCTAATTTTTTCTATGTATTTTTAGCTAGCCGATTAATTTCTTTCTAATTTTAGTAGAGGTGGGGTCTCGCTCTTGCTCAGGCTGGTTTCAACATTTCTTGCTAGGCACTAAGTGTTGAGGAAACAAGAATAGAAATAGCCCATTCTCTCAATGAGCTTACAAATATAATTTCAGCAGCTCTAAGTAGCATTAATATTTTTGCTAAGGTCACACTTAAATTTTATACCTCCTGGTTTTTGTCATCTGTTGGGCTCTATTTTTCCTTGAGGGCTCCATCTCTCTGGTCCCAACTCCTTGCCATTGTTCAATTTCTTTTTTTAAAATTTTTTTTCACAATTGCATTACTTTTTTTTTTTTTTTTTGAGACATTGTCTCGCTCTGTCACCCAGGCTAGAGGGCAATGGCATCAGCCTAGCTCACACCAACCTCAAACTCCTAGGCTCAGGCAATCCTCCTGCCTTGACCTCCCAAGTAGCTGGGACTACAGGCCTGCACCACCACGCCCAGATAATTTTTTCTATTTTTAGTAGAGATGGGGTCTCAATCTTGCTCAGGTTCGTCTCAAACTGCTAACCTCAAGCGATCCTCCCACCTCAGCCTCCCAAAGTGCTAGGATTACAGGCCTGAGCCACCATGCTGGCCCACTGTTCAATTTCTAACTCTGCTCCTGTTTCCTTGCCTGGGAGTCAACTTCCTTTTCTTTGTGTCAATTTGTGCTGTGCTACATAGCCTTGATTCTTACAAACATGATTCAAAATCTGGTGCTTGGGTTTGAAGGTACCTAAAAACTGGCTTTGGCCGGGCGCGGTGGCTCACGCCTGTAATCCTAGCACTCCGGGAGGCCGAGGTGGGAGGATTGCTTGAGCTCAGGAGTTTGAAACCAGCCTGAGCAAGAGCGAGACCCCGTCTCTACTATAAATAGAAAGAAATTAGCCAAACAACTGAAAATAGAAAAAATTAGCCGGGCA